GGACCAGATTGAACTTTTTTGGATTTTTCTACCTGGATTATTGAGCATGCATCAGGATATTTTAAAAAAACCTTTGCAATTCTGAGAGAAACTGCATTTCCTGTGAAAATACATTGTGAATGCTTATTGTAGAAGAACTTACTGAGAAACAGATGAAATTAGCTAAAAAAAAAATACTGACGTAGCTGAAATGGAAGAACAAGCTTAAATTAGCAGAAGAAAGCAGAAAGAACACACATTTGGTGAAACAGGTTTAAATAAACAGAAATTAGTACAAAAATTAGGAAATCGGCTAAAAAAAGTTGAAATTGGCAACAACAAAAAAATGGGTGAAAAGAAGCTGAAAGGCAGAAAGAAGCTTTAACTACCAGAAGGAAGTGGACTGAGCTGAAATGAGTTTTAAAAAGTGGAAATAGCTGGAAAAGAGTTAGCATGAAAACAGCTAAATAGTAGCTAAAACAGATGAAAAAGCTAAACTAGAATAATTAAGCTGAAATGAGTATCCATCCATTTTCTTTAACTGCTTATTCCATTTTGGGTCACGGGGGTCGCTGGTGCCCATGTCCAGCAATCACTGTGCGAGGGGCGGGGTACACCCTGGACAGGTCTCCAGTCCATCACAGGGACACACAGAGACAAACGAGACAAACAACCATTCACTCTCTCACTCACACCTAGGGACAATTTAGAGTTACCAATCAGTCTAACATGCATGTTTTTGGTCTGTGGGAGGAAACTGGAGTACCCAGAGAAAACCCACGCATGCACGGAGAGAACATGCAAACTCCACCCAGAAAGGCCCCTGGACCGGGGTTTGAACCAAGGACCTGCTCGCTGAGAGGCAGCAGCTCTACCAGTTGCGCCACCGTGCTGCCCTGAAATGAGTATAATTGACTGAAATCATCAGAAAGAAGTTAATTAGGCTGAAAGTACCAGAAAGTACCAAAAACATTTGAAACAGCTGAAATTAGCAAGAAAATGTTTAAAAGGTAGCAGAACAATTAGAACAAGCTTAAATTCACAGTAGAAAGCAGAAAGAACACATTTGCCCAAATAGACTAAAAGAAGCAGAAATGAGCACATAAAAGTGGAAATTATTTGAAAAAAGCTGAAATTAGCAAAAAAAAAAAAAAAAACAGCTGAAAAGTGGTTAAAAAGACAGAAAGCAGTTTAAGTTACAAGAAGGAAGTGGAGAGAGCACATTTTTGCTGAATTACACTGACGAATAGTTGAAATTAGTGCAAAATGTGGAATTAGCTGAAAAAGATAAAATTAGCATAAAAGCAGCTAAATAGTAGCTGAAATAGCAGAAAAAGCTGAAACACATAAATAAGCTGAAAGGAGCGTAACAAGCTGAAATTAGTAGAAAGAAGTTAAAAGAAGCATAAAAATGTTGTAGTTAGCAGAAAGAATCTGAAAGGAGCACAAAACAGCTGAAAAAACCGCTGAAAGTAGCTGAACAAAAAGTTTTAATTTGTACAAGAAAGTTGAAAGAAGCTGAACCAGAACAAAATGTGAAAGGAGCAGTGAAAGGTTGTAAACAGATCTAAAGATTTGAAGGATGATAAATGAGCTCAATTCATTTTCTATGAGGAAAAAAAGTGGCGGACAAGACTATTGGTAAATATTTCAAAAAGCTAAAGTTGCACCAACACCAAAAGTCATAGCAGGATTGTCCTGAAAGAGCTGAATGTGTGATTTGTTGAAATAGCACAAAATTTGTGGAACGAGAAAAATTCTGAAGAATGTACAGAATAAAAATGGCTCACAACAGTGTGAATGCTTCACAGGTGTTCACACTGTTCGTTTGTAGGCATGATGTGAAGTTTTCCAGTGTGAGTAACCATGGATTAAATGGCTGCCACAATTCATAGCTTTCAGAATGAGCTCCCACTTTAATTGTTATCCATTTAAACCTTTAAAACATACAACATGATGATTTAGCAACAATAACACTCTTAAATGGAAGTTGAAAAACCTTTACACCAAGAGTTCTGGGACTTTGTAACACATTATATAACATTTTTTTAAACAAGTCTACATCTTACAAAAAAATAAACATGAAACTCCACCACAGAACCTTCATTTTATTTAGTTCTTTAAAGCTGATGAACCTTTAACAATAGCAAACCAGTAGACTTACTAAATCAGTACAGTTTATACAAAAATATGGCTAAGCCTGATGGAACCAGACAAAAATATTCACTTTTAAACTGTCATTGACTTATTTAAGGTAATATTAATGGTACGGCAGTGGTGTAGTCTAGGTGGTACGCAGGTATATGAAGTATAACCTCTAGAAAAGCTTAAGAATTTCAGTATACCCACTTAAATGTGTCCAATGATGCATGGCATGTCATTAGACACATGTCATCGACATGTTCAACAGCAGTTAAATATTTCCGTAACAATCTATCGGTATGGGGCGCTTGTTTGTACATTCGCTTATCCAGCGAATTATTGTATAATTAATACTTTTGTACTTACTACTTAATACTTGTACATGTTTTGCTTTGATAATGTTTTATAAATGCTATGTTTTTAATACAAAGCCAACTGTTGTACAAAGTTTGTTTTTCATTTATTCTAATAGAAGCATCAGAGAAATTTGGAAATGTTCAATACGCTTAAAAATCAAAAATAAATTGATGATTACATTGTACCAACCGGTGTACTTTGGTTTCTAAACACAGTATAGGGACCGACCATGGTAAAGTTAGTTTTACGTTGGACGTTGAAGATTCGCGCTCCGTGGCTTCAGCAGTGTCCCAACGGCCAACGTAAAACTAACTTTACCACGGTATGCCCACTACAAAAACGTAGACTACACCACTGTAAAGTTTACTGCAACTATGAAGCTGCACTTTGGTTTTCACTTGAGTCATTTTAAACACCCCCAGCTGCTTTGCAACCACAACGTGTCTTAACAGATGCAGAAGGGTTAAGACATGTGGAGTACAGTCGATCTGTGGTCTATGTTGGTGTAGGAAGATTCTCACTCAGCCAGGACACATTTTAGTACTGATTCAAAATGTCTTCAGCTACATTATAGATGTCCAGTTGGTTTGGTTTTTAAAAAGAAGGTAATTTTTATACCATTTATGTATGTTTCACTTCCAGAGTGGCTCAGCCTCTAAACACGGTCATTGTCCTGTGCTTGTAGCTGTTTGTTGGTATAACACAGCAGTTTATCCCAGCATGGTTTCATCCTGCTGTCTGTCACATCATCTGAGTCCTTGGCATGGTGTCCTGCTGGTGTCCAGGGTACCAGTGTCCAAAATTGTTCATGTACCCTCCTGAATGTGCGGGTGCAGCTTTGGCACCCATACTGATGTCCCAGAGAGAGCACGGAGAGGAAGACGGTGGTGGTGGCGCAAGGGGATCTCTCTCAGGTCCACACGGCCCATTTTTCATGATCTTCTTGTATTTAGATCGTTTGTTCTGGAACCAGATCTTCACCTGGAGGACAAAGGAGAGACGAGAGTTAAAAACCAAATGACAATGGGTTTCATGGGTCAGGTTTAAGCATCTGTCATAAAAATGTTCATTAAAATGTTGAGAGATAAGATTAGATTTATGGTTTTTGAGCTGAGACATATTGTTTCAATTATTTTATCACCATATTCATGTTGCTTTCCTTTTTAACATACTGAACCAAACTGGACATTTTGTGAACTGGACTAAAACTGTTACTAATACATCTGGCACTTCTACAGGCAGTGCACACACAAGTAGTTAATGGTTTTCAAGATTAGATATTGTGTTGTGTTTTTATGTTTGCTAATAGTTACAATTTTCCATTCATCCTTCCATCCATCCATCCATCCATCCATCCATCCATCCATCCATCCATCCATCCATCCATCCATCCATCCATTATCTTCTGCTTGTACCAAAGTTGTGACGCGGGGGCAACAGCTTGGGGAGGCCAGACATCTCTTTCTACAAGCACCTCTTTCAGCTCTTCTGGAAGTACCCTAAGGAGTTCTCTGGCCAACCGAGAGACATAGTCTCTCCAGAGTGTCCTGGGTCTTCCTCGGGGTCTCCTCCCAGTCGGACAGTGACTGCTGGATATGCGCACCAGCAACACCCGCAACCCAGAATGAATAAATCAGGTAAAGAGAATGGATGGATGGATGGATGTCTTCCCTGGGGTCTCCTCTCAGTCTAACATGCTCCAAGCACCTCCCTTGAGAGGTGCCCAGGAAGCATCCTTACCAGATGCCCGAACCACCTCAGCTGGCTCCTCTCAAGGTTCTACTCCGAGTCTCTCCTGATAACTGAACTTCTCACCCTGTCTCTAAGGGAGAGTCCAGCTACCCTTCAGAAGAAACTCATTTCAACCTCCTGTATCCAAGATCTCTTTCTTTCAGTCACTACCCAGAGCTCATGACTGTAGGTGAGGGTAGGAACGTAGACTGACCAGTAAACAGAGAGCTTTGTCTTACAGCTCAGCTCCCTCTTCACCACAACGGACCGGCACAGAGTTCGCAATACTGCAGACGCTGCACTGATCCGTCTGTCAATCTCACGCTCCATTCTTCCCTCACTCATGAACAAAACTCTGAGATACTTGAACTCCTCCACTTGAAGCAGAACCTCACCCTTGACCTGAAGAGAGTAAACCACACTTTTCCAGTTGAGGACCATGGCCTCAGATCTGGAGGGATTGGATTTGGATTCTCATCCCTTCATCTTCACATTGGGCTGTGAACCGTTTCAGTGAGAGCTGAAGATAGATCATGGCACAATGAAGCCAACAGGACCACATATCATCTGCAAAGAGCAGAGATGGAATCCTGCAAATAACAAGTTACAATTTTCGATTTGGAAAAGAAAATGTAAATTTTTTAGCCTTTCAGTGAAAGCTAAAAAACCTGATCCTTTCAGTTTATTTATATAGTGCAAATTCACAACATGTTGTCTTAAGGCAGTCTAAAATGTAGTAAGAAGTGCAAATCATATCAAATTTATAAAAACAGATTCAGTATGCTATATAATTTCATATAGTCAAAGAAGGTGTCTGTTTAAGGAAATCAGAAAATTGCATCAACTCTTTACTTGACAAAATGTCCCATCCCAAGCAAGTGCTTCAGTGACAGTGAAGCATAGAAACTTTATTTTTAACAGGAGGAGAGCTCAAGCAGAATAAGAATAGAAAAAGTTTTTTTTTCTGTGATAAAACAAGTGTGCTGGCGCAACTGGTAGAGCTGCTGCCTCTCAGCTAGCAGGTCCTTGGTTCAAACCCCGGCCCAGGGGCCTTTCTGGGTGGAGTTTGTATGTTCTCTCCGTGCATGCGTGGGTTTTCTCCGGGTACTCCAGTTTCCTCCCACAGACCAAAAACATGCATGTGAGGCTGAATGGCAACTCTAAATTGTCCCTAGGTGTGAATGAGAGAGTGAATGGTTGTTTGTCTTGTTTGTCTCTATGTGACCCTGTGATGGACTGGAGACCTGTCCAGGGTGCACCCCGCCCCTCGCACAGTGATTGCTGGACATGGGCACCGGCGACCCCCGTGACCCAAAATGGAACAAGCGGGTAAAGATAATGGATGGATGGATGGATGGAAAACAAGTGTGCAGTGGCACGGTGGCTCAGTTGGTAGAGCTGTTGCTCCTCATCAAAAAGGTGGCCAGTTCAAATCCCAGCCGGGGGCATTTCTGGGTAGACATCAAAGTTCATGCTCAATAATCCAGGTAAAGAAATCCAACAATGTTCAGTCAGGTCATCTGGATAGTTTTTTTTTTTTGTTTGTTTTGTTGAGAGATGTATCACCCTCCATCCAGGGCTTCATCAGTCGGAGAAGACTTTGATGTCTTGAACCTCGTTGGCTATGGTTGCCCGGGAGGAGTTGACGGGGGAGAGGACATCCCCCAGAAACCATCTTATCACCAGCAAACTAGTTGGTCCACTGTAGGAGTGTACTGCTTGGTGGAGAAAACAGTTTGTATGTGACTTCTCAGACTGATGAAGCCCTTTGGATGGAGGGCGAAATGGCTCAACAAAAAATTGTTGGCTTTCTGGCAGGAGTTTACATGTTCTCTCCGTGCAGCGTGGTTTTTCTCCGGATACTCCAGTTTCCTCCCACAGACCAAAAACATGCATGTTAGGCTGATTGGCAACTCTAAATTGTCTCTAGGTGAGAGAGAGAGAGAGAGAGAGAGAGAGAGAGAGAGATTAAATGTTTGTTCGTCTCTATGTGTCCCTGTGATGGACTAGAGACCTGTCCAGGGTGTCTCCTGCCTCTCCCACAGTGACTGCTGGACATGGGCAACAGTGACCCCCGTGACCGGGAAAGAAAGAAGTGGGTAAAGATAATGGATGGATGGATGGATGGATGGATGGATTGATGGATGGATAGATGGATGGATGAATGGATAGATGGATGGATGAATGGATAGATGGGTGGATGGAAAAAAGTGTGCATGAAATGCATCAATCTTTTCCTAGAAGCTGCTTTTAATTATACCTCATTTAAAAGCCTTCAAAAAGAGAACTTTGAATGTGTAATGATTTGAAATACTGTAAGGGGGCAGTATTTAACCAGTTCAAAACCTTCAAAAAGAAACTGAAGGATCAATTTGCCACAGTTCTACAAAAAATTGGTACGAGGCATCGAAAAGCAAACTCAGGTTGAGATTCTAGAGCTTCTGAAAGGTTGAATGTTTGTTTGGCTGAAAGTGTACTAAAGTTAAAAGCCACTTATAAATGTCTGCAGGTTGTAAATGACGAGTTGACGTATATATTGTTTAGTAGTTTTCAGTTTTTCTCCTTTTCAGATGTGTAATTTGAACCAGGTCTCCAGCATGGACCACAACACTGACTTCAAGTGAGAGATTCAGTGTTTGTTCATGTAGTTTTACTGAACGATGACATACAGGCGTTACTCATCATGCTCATTGGATCGTTCAACATTCCAGATGTGAATAATGCTGCTGAAACAGAGGCAGAAGATCTAAAAATGGCAAAAACTGGTAGCACTGGGTAAGAAAAGACAAATTAACAGGGTAACAAAAAACATGTAGTTTGGCTGTAAGAGCTTGAAGTTTCTTTGTAAGCACATGTTGAAATCAGACCATGAGTCAGGAAGCAGGTGAATCTCTCCCATTACCTGTGCTGGCCACACATCACGCCCCGCATGGGTAAACCATGGGGGTGAACATAAACAGAATAGTACAGAACATTTTTATTTGTTTGTTTTTAAATATTTCATTATTAAGAAGAAATAATTTACACACAAACTGTTCCTTGTGACTTGTTGTAATCAAGTATGGACAGTTTTACACTTATGTCCTACCTCAGGTAGGATTTGAACTGACTGAGCGAGTTGAAAGTGAGAACACAACCACTGCACCATGCCTACACTAAGAATGCATGTAGTCATGTTTGACTTTTATCTGTGACTAAGGAACGTGTCGGTAATCAGGGTAATTATTTGACTTTCTGCAGAGTCAGAAAAATCATGACCGAGGAGGCAGAATTATGAGGAGAAGCAACCTCAAAACGTTTGCTCACACCATGCTAGCATCAAAGGAATAAGAACTGAAAAAGTTCCTCAGAGATCTGGTGTTCACCAGACCTATCCTGGCAGGAACCGCAGCCGGTGGTCCAACGGACTAGGGAGCCCAGGGCAGTGTCCTCAAGCTTCGAAGGTTCACCCTGCACCAGTGGAGCTGAGAGAAACATGAAGAGTGGGGCCAAATATCCACATCCAGGCCAGTGGCAGGTACCACACAGGTGTCAGCAGGATCCAGAAATGCCAAGCCACAGCAAAAGCAGGAAATAATCCATTTCTTGTCCGAGAAATGTAAGTGGAATAGACCAGGCAGATATTTAATTTCACCAGTTGTCCTCTGCTTTTGTTTTTCATTCAACCTTTGTTTATACAGGTTAGTCTCACTGATCCTCGGGGACTTATTTACAAGTGTAGTGGACTAGGCCTACGTCGAAACTAAGTCTAAGGTCAAAACTCTTGACCTTTAGAACCTTGTGGGACAGGAACTGTCATTTCATGTATTTGAATACATAAATACAGGTTCACCCATCCTGAGACTTTCTTTCTTGAAGATTCAAGTGAAAAGAACACTCTCTTTTTATTATCATTACTATCTTACAAATGTTGATAATCAAAGTGTCTTAGTTCAAACCATTTTAGATGTTGCAGTGAACTAATCAATTTTATTAACTGAGTAATGGTTTTTATTCTCATGCAAAAGTTAGAACTCATGTTAAAAGCTGTTGCAGAGTAATTATGCATTTTTCTGATTTCTGCTTTTGAATGAGCAAGTGTGTGCGTTTACAAGGTTACAGTCAAACGAAAAACAAGTTGTTATGTTAAAACTGTCATGTTTTAGAATCCTCTCAGACGTAAATAGAGATGTTTTGCACCTGTTTCTTAAACACGCCACAACAAAACCCTCTCGGTCTGTGAGAACATTTCTGAGCTGTCCCATAACAAT